ATTTTTCTGGATGCAGACCACCAAGTAGTCGCATAACATATTTACGGTTTTTGATAGCCGGTGGCGATTCATCCGATATTCCAGTGGCATTACCCAATGTTGTCGTAAGCCTGTGTTTTGGGCATAAAGCCTGAAACAGGACGAGCCTTGTTTGCACATTCCACGGACTCTTTGCAGACCCAGTAGAGAATAGCAATCAAATCCATTGTGCTGCGGCCTAAACGAAAACCACATTGCTCATCCTGCCCTTCCTCTTCTACCACGTCACGGCATCTGCTTTTCAAGCGTTTTGCTTAGACTTTACGGAATAAACTGGGCAAGGAAATGCAGCAGTCGATGTTGTCACCTCTCTGGTTGCCTAATTGAACATGGGATAATCATTCCAGATTATGACTTTATGTTTTTCCGCAACTTCATGCATATGGGCATTCACGAATCAGCTGCGGAACATCACCGTGATTCTAAAATTTTAACCGTCTTAGACCAGACGTTTTTTCCTACTGCAGTTTTGCCACTTGCCAGCGATATAGTCCTTGCTCTCATCTCAACGACTGTGGGAATATTTTTCATCTTAAGATGGGTTTTGTGAATTTTGCCAAGATCTACAGAAACTGAATTTAGTAGGTCAAGTCCTCAAAGTATTTTCATTATCTCTGGAGAACACTTTCCTCATGGGTTAGATCTTCATCCGATTTTTTCCCAGTTCAGATGGTAACAGATCTTCACCTGCTCAGACGGCGGATAGTTTGTTAAAACACTGCGTTTGCTGATCGATAGTCAGGGTTCATGTTGTCGCGAAGCGATTCTCATGCCTTTGCCTTCGCGGTTTTCATTACCTTTGTAATAGCTTTGCGAGTTTCAATTTACTGCATACTTAAAAGAGAAGACCTGTTTGCCAATCACTTCAAGCAGTCTTCTTTGCTCCAGAGGTACCTTGATCATTTTGTTTCGGATCAATGCGTTCTTGCCACCAAGCACGACACCATGTCTGTCTTGTTTACGAAAAGATGAAGCCACCCAGTTTCCATTTCTGAAACTGCAATTGATGTTCTGTCAGCATGTCATATGTTTGCATGCTCCAACGTCATTCTATTCAGTAGACAAATTCTATGGGTTGTCATAGAATCAGAAAAGCGCACTTGGCAAACACTATGTTGGCAGCTCCTGCCCTCACTTTGCGCAAACTTCCAGCACCATTGAAGGGAGTTAATTGAATCTATAAATCACTTGATCAGAAATCGCCCCCTAAAGTATTCAGATACCTTGCGTACTACGGAAATCACCATTCCGGAATAAGGTATTCATTATGAACAGACCAGCTACGCAGAAAAAGTCCATCTGCTTGATGTCATTCAGGCTGATGTCCTAACCGCTGTTCCTTCCGGATACAACTTTCGACTCCTGGTAGCTAATTCCGGTATGTGCGCTGAGTTATTAATCAAAAGGACGGATTGATAGTCAGCCAACATTTTGCATGGCTGCGTGGATGTTTTTCACAAGGATTCATCGTCTTAATTTAGTGCATACAGCTGCCATTCATTTTTAGTATCTTAGCTTCAGCATATCCGTTCTTTCCTTATTGAGCTACATTCAACCGCACAGTGGGTGGGGTTCATCACTATTGCCACCTTTGCTTTTTCTGACTTGGTCAGATCGACTTCAGACTAGAATGATTTCCACCCATTGCCGTAGTCAAAGGCTTTGGAAGTACGACGCATTTCAGGCGAGAGTAGTGCTTTGCCTCTTCGACCAATCCCTGCTTTTCGTTCAGAAGGTTGACATCTCAATCATCATGAATCATAGTCTGTTGTATTGCAGATTCGATATAGAGCCTCTTGATTTCCTATCTGTGCCCTGTGCCGTCGAGGGTTGTTACCTAAGACGGATAATGAGCTCTACTTATAAGGCTACACTGCCTGGTTGGATGTTACTTACGTAGCCTTAGCTATGAGAAACTGCTGCATATTTTTCAAACGATCCCTCACGTCGAAGGTACGAATTCATCACATGTTGACCAGTACAAAATGGTATAAGCGATAGAACGGGTTTAATTGGATTGTCAGATACTTTAATTGTATCTCTACAGTACAACCAGTCCGGTATGAGTGACCGCGGATCAGGAGCAACTTTCGCTGCTCCATCCAGCATTGCTTCATGTCTTCCCACCCAGTCAAGGAATTATTTCAAGGCAAGAGACTTTCTCCTTCTTATCACCACCACTGTACTAAGAACTCGTCCAGTAACATTAAATTAAGCCTTTTCTTGGTCCCTGCACTAAACACTAACATGTGTTAGGTGTGGGAGCGATAATTTCAAAATACGCTTAAAATCCTTAATGCGACTGAACTTTTAGCTGGGTAGTTGGACAGTGGGAAGACTGCGACGTGACGTGCGGCGGAGGATGGCAAATCCGGGAGATCTACTGCGCTAAACACAAGAAAGCGAACGGCGAGAGTGTCGAGTCTCACAAATTGGATGAAACCTATTGCTGGAATCAAAGGAAGCCGGTCGTAAGGAGAGCGTGCAACACTCAGCGATGTCCGAATTGGGAGGTCGGCGAGTGGTCACAGGTACCTTCGTCGATATGCCGTCTTAATGATAGTAATCACGCTTCTCCGGCAGTGTTCCGCCACCTGTGGCAGCGGTTCGCAGTTCCGGCGAGTAGTCTGCCGCCAGGACAGAATCACCGATTTCAGCGCCGCGGCGTGCGACCCCCGTACAATGCCGTCAGAGGAACAGAAATGCTTCACCGGCATTACTTGTGACGATGAGGCGAAACGACAAGGTAAAGTT